TAGTTACGTATTGCTTCTACTGTCAAATTTGGTATTACTATCGTGACTCTGTCTGTGCTTTAATAAAACTCTTTTTAGATTTAAGTTTGAACAGTCTGACTTTATTTGTTTTATGTTGCGAGCTTTTAAAATAACGACGGGCAGCTACTCAAATATGTTTTGTGGTCAGCCAACATTGCAAGAAACAAATTCTCAGGATGATCAAAATAACTATTTCTTTGTATTACAGGATCTATAATAGCTTTGAGTTAATTTGATAAGTATCTAGAGGCAGAGATTAGCTTCAACAAGTGAAGTACTCCATCTTTACATGTAGGATGAATTTTAATTGAAAACCAAGTTAGTGCGTAAACTTTAACAACATACATATGTTGCTAGAATTGTAAGATTTTCAAAAGGTCTATTGATTACATAAAGGCGAAGAATTCTTGTCGAACCATCGCATGAGCATCTTCCAGCGATTTGTTTTAAATCTTCTGAAATACACTAGTACATACGCGGAGACTATTCTGTAAACATTTTTATCTGAGCTCATATTTTCGATTAATAGCTCGGGTAGTTCTGGGAAATAGGTTGTTAGTGGTTCCTATTACACGTGTAGTTCGTGTAGTTTTGATATACGTGTATTAGTTCGTGTAACTAAAATTATACGTGTATTTTTAATACACGTGTATTATTATTTATTACACGTGTACAAGTTCGTGTTATTTAAGTACACGTGTAAATAATAAATATGTCATAAATAAAGGTTTATATATTTTTATAAGAATACAATTAAAAATACAAAAATACAAATAAAAAGACCTTTTCGGCGGAGTCTATAAACGTCCGAGTTTTTAGGTATCGAATAATATATAAAATATGTACCTTTATAAAGTTATAAATAATATTTTTACCAACATTTATGTAGTATATAACACATTATATACTACATATACTCGTATATTATATTCAAGTGCATTATTGACTACACGCTTATCGAGTTTTCGATAAGATAAAGTTAAATCGATACCACGTGCCGCGTTCAAATTAAATTAAATTGTATTGCTTTTTCGGATTATACAAATTTATTTTACTTGTTGTTCGTTTGCACGATCCACGGATACATGTCTGTTATATTGTACATTGGTAAAATACTAAAATGTCAATGCTTGGAAAAAGTTGGGTTTGGCAGTATGCAAAACGTATTGAAAATAAAGCGTACTGCAATTTATGCGATGAAGATGATAACAACGAGTTTTCTTGTCCCGGAGGTACCACTGGCTCATTGGGAAGACATTTAACTACTATTCACGGCTTAATGGTTAATGCTGTGGTTAATAAAGAACAGTAAGTAATATACATAATATACTATAATTGGTTTAAAATGTTTAAATTTAAAGCAGATTATACATAACTTTGGTAGTAACGTTTCAATTTTGTATACTCAAATCTTTTCTGCTATTAATAATTGTGTCCCTACATACGAAAAACTTAAATTTAACTTAATACATTACGCTTCACTTAGAATCTAAAATATAAAAAAATCAGTGCAAAACTTTTCTTAGTAGTAAATAAAAATATAATGTATAATAAATAAATTAAATAAACTATAAACCGAATTTTTTTTAAATATTTATTATTAGACTAAGGACACACGATGAACAGCAACCGGAAAACGACAGTGACGAAGTTATGGATATTGATGAGACAAATAAAGAAATAAACCTTGAAAAAAATGGAAGATCAAGAAAGAGAAAGAGACGAACAAATATACATTATCAAAACACAAACAATGGCAATAATGCACGTTCTTGTTCGAAAGACAGGTGTGAATTAATTAACAAAGCATTAGCTAAAATGATAGCTGTAAATCAGTTGCCATTGTCATTTTGCTCAAGTAATGGTTTTCATGATTTCATGTCTGTAGTAGAACCAAACTACAAGCCATGCAAAGAAGAAGCAATTAAAACTAGATTAAAAATATTATCTTCAAATATTGAAGAACTTATTAAAAACGACTTGCAAGATGCTTCTAGTATATGTTGCACAACCGACTGTTGGACCTCGATTTCACAGGAATCGTATATTACAGTGACCGCTCACGTAATTGATTCTAAGTGGTGTGCTAAATCATATACATTGACTACACACGAAATGGATAAGCGTCATACTGCAGAAAATTTATCAGAACAACTTATAAATACTTTTGGCAAATGGGATATTACTAACAAAATATTAGCAATAGTAACTGATAATGCGAAAAATATAACTAATGCCATTCCTTTGATAAGTCCCGAAATTTATAGTGTTAAATGTGCAGCACATAGTCTACAACTTGCCGTTAATTGTGTCTTAAAAAATGAAAATATAGTTAATATAATAAAACAATGCAATAAAATTGTAGGGCACTTTAAACATTCAACATTAGCTAAAACATCACTTGAAGAAAAACAAGAATTACTTGGCTTAACAAAAACAACTTTACTTCAGAGTTGTAAGACAAGGTGGAATTCTATATACCTTATGATGGAACGTCTCGTTTTGAATAGATGTGCAATATTCAATGTTTTAGCAGATCGAACTATAACATCTCAATCTATGGCTCAAAAACTCGAAATTAAAGAACATGAATGGTTATTTATCGAGTCGCTTATACAATTTCTTAAACCGATATATGTCACTACAAACATTTTTTGTACGGAAAATAATTCGTCAATATCAATGATTAGACCATTATTAAAACAAATTATTGAAAAACATTTAATGCAATGTCATAAAAATGAAGATACCATTGTACAAACATTGAAACAAACATTAGCTTCAGAAATTAAACGCCGCTTTTCGCTTGAATGGGATTCAACTGAATCTGTATTATTAGAACAAATTGCTTCATTCTTGGATCCTAGATTTAAAGACTTAGACCACGAAGTATTATCTAATCATGAGGCAATCCGCTCTAAAATAAAACAAATAATCAACCAAAATAATTATCTCGAGCCGAATGAAATAACTACAGCTTCTCAAGAACAACAAAATAAACATAGAAGTGATCTTGAATATATATTTGGAATCAACAATGAAAAAAATGATCTAACAAAAGAATTTCAAAACTATTTAGCAGAACCGCAGTTGAGATTTACATTAGATCCCTTAGAGTGGTGGAAAACACGATATTCAAAATATCCGACAATAGGTAAACTTGCTAAAAAGTATATGGCAATTACTGCAACATCAGTGAGTGCTGAACGTTGTTTTTCAACTGCTGGTAATATAGTCACTCGAAAAAGAGCTTCCTTATCACCAGAAAATGTAAATTTACTTGTATTTTTGCATCAGAATAAACGGCTGATGATTTAAAATTAAAACTATCAGCTATTAAAGTATAATATATTAAAATTATTTATTTATTATTATTTAATATTAACTGGATTATAATTAAATATTTTTTTAGGTACTAAATAGGTACTTTTTGTTGTTTTCCTGTATTCATCTTTTGTTAAATTATTATTATTAGTATTAATATTGTTTCAAATGTTATTATTATTGTTAGTACTGAATAAATAGTTATAAATACTAATAAATTATGAAGCGTAATATTTTTTAATAAATATAATTTTTATTCATGGAATATTAATTACACGAACCAATTACACGTGTATTTAAAATACACGAACTTCGTGTACACGTGTATTTTAAAAACACGTCTAAAATCGTTACCACTAGTTGAAACTGAATAACAGATTTTTTGCACAACTTTTTAACTACTTGCCAATTTCTCCTGAAAACGTCTGGGGTCCCGGTGTTGAGCCATCAATATGTACAAATAAATGTCGCAACGGTAATTCCTTCATATGAAGCAAACTAATTATCTATTGTAATGGCTTATTTAATATTTTTTCTAACAAACGAATAATACCTCTATTTGTCCGTCCGTGATATTACATTAAATAAACTTAATAGCACACAAAAAAATAATAAAATAATTATAATAATAAAGGTGGACGTCTCCACACTAGAGCTACTATATATATAATATCCCTTAAAGACCGACAAGGCGTGATTGTGAGAGTATAGTTTTTATTTTTTATTTTTTTCATTGTCATATTGACTTTACTTTTTTCAGACCGGTCTTGCACGATTGTAAAGGTTATGTTTTATCGTTTTTATTTATTTTTAAAAGTAATCTAGTATAATACAGTCATAATCCATATATTAATAGTTTTGGGTTTTCGTCAGTTACAGAAATCTTTGATCTGGAGCCAACCAATACCAGAACAATACAAGCTTTCTAATCTATTTGCCTTAGTATTATTGCTAAAGCCCCTTGGTACATCACTAATTAGTCATTGCATAATGATTTAAAAATTCCAACCGTTAATCACACAGCTGTCACATATTACTCTCGCTTTCACTCCAAAACGGAACACCACACGAACAGTCTCATCACTCAAATTTCTCCACAAATATTCCAGGAAATCTAGTTAGACCCCTCAAACGGAAATGGCCCAAAAATCTCATAAATATCTAATTTAAATACTTTAACTCTTTCCGGCACGGTGGGATACCATATGTCCCACCTATAAAATTACATTTCCGTCACGGTGGTACGAAAAATAACCCACCTTTTATAATAATTGTTTTCGATATTTCAAAATAATTTTTCACTTATACGTATTATAAATAGTTTTGTTAGTCTATTTTAAATGTTATTTTCTAAAATTGAAACGGATATTAATTAATTTTGTGTTATTTATGACTATTTCCCCGATTTTTTTTTTTTTTTCGATGACCAGCCAATTATTATTATTTGTTTTTACAATTTTCGTATTTGAGTTATTTATATAAATAATATTGTTTCATAATATGTTAGACACTGTTATATACTGGCATTCAATGCAGACAAAACCATTTTACTGATAGCGGTTAGTCTGGAATGACGTATAATGTAAGAGTCCAGATTTTAACCCACCGTGCAGCAAGTGAGTAAATCTCTGTATTCATATATTACGTTAAATTTATTACGTTTATTTTATTCATTCAGCGAGTTCAATTATTTACACATTTTATTTTATTTTATTATTTGTATTAAAATACAAAACAATATCTACCGTATTTTTACAATAAATTTATTATTCAAAATGAATAAAAACTTAGATGAAAATAATATTTATCAAATACTATGCGAAGAAATTCCGTCCGATGACAACAGTGAAACTTCATGTGACGAATCTGATAATGACGAGGATTACTGTTTGCCTTCACGTGAAGTCGTAATTTCCGAATCTTCTTCAGATACGGAATATGAAGACTCGAAAATTTTGAATTTAGATAATAATAATATTTATTTACTTTCCTCACCATTAAAAAAAACTCGATTATCAACAAAAAGAAAAATTATTAACAGAGATGTAGAAAATCCAAACAAAGTACCTGTTGGTCGTCGTCAACTTTTTTCTAATTTTAATTTTGAAGAAGGTGATATGTCAGGAATTCAGCCACTAGCTACCCCTTCTTCAAGTCAATCAGATCATGAAAGTTCTCAACCTCCAATAAATGTACAACAAAACCACAATGAAATCAATATTCCATTCATACCACCAATTTGGTTAAAAAATAATAATAATATGTATTCAAGTCCTTTATTTACCAGTTTAGAAGGCGTCACAAGTACTATAGAAAATCTCCCTTTTTGTACACCAATCAGTATTTTTAATATACTATTTAACGATGAGATTATGAATTTAATTGTTTTTCAAACAAATCTATATGCCCAACAAAAACAAACTAAAACCGGAAAATCATTTACACGAACAAATTTATCAGAAATAAAAACTTTTATCGGAATAAATCTTTTAATGGGAATAAAAAAACAGTGTAGTTATAGGGACTATTGGTCATCTTCGCCAGATTTGCACGACTCGTACATTAGTAGTCTTATGACCGTCAACCGTTTTGGTTGGCTACTAGCACATATACATTTAAATGACAATACAGTAATGCCAAAAAAAAATACAGATAATTACGATAAGTTATACAAACTAAGACCATTTATAAGTATTCTTTTATCTAATTTCCAAAAAACATACAATCCACATCAAATTGTTTCTATAGACGAGAGTATGGTAAAGTTTACAGGAAGGAACTCAAATAAACAATATATGCCAAAAAAACCCATCAAAAGAGGTTTCAAAATTTGGTGCTTAGTGGACAAACATGGGTATTTGTGGAATTTTGAAATTTACACTGGGAAAGTTGGTGATAGAGTTGAAAGTCAATTAGGAGCCCGCGTGGTTAAGCATTTGTCACAACCACTCCAAAATAAAAATCATTTATTATTTTTTGACAATTACTTCACTAGTTATCCGCTCATGACATATCTCAAGTCAAAAAATATCCATGCATGTGGAACTGTTAATTTAACAAGAAAATATTTGCCTAATTTTAAAAAAGATAAAGATTTAAAACTTGGAGAGTATGATTGGTTTGTTGATCAAGGTGACATTTCAATTGTTAAACGGCGTGATAAAAGAATTGTTAGCCTTTTATCAAACTTTCACAACCCTGAAGATGCTACAGCGGTACAAAGGAGATCAAAGGATGGTTCAGTAACTATGGTTTCATGTCCAAAAGTTTTAGGCGAGTATAACAAACACATGAACTGTGTCGATAAATTTGACCAAAACAAAAAGTCATGTGAAATTAATAGAAAGGCACGTAAATGGTGGCATAGATTATTTTTTCATTTTATTGATGCAGCTATTGTTAATTCACATGTAATCTATAAACAAACAACAAATACAAATATTACAATGAAAGATTTTCGTCGAGAAATATCTAGAAGTCTTGTTTCTAAAACATTGGTGGAAAAAAGAGCAGCACAAAATAAATCAAAAATAAGCCCAGTAGAATTGAAAAAAAATAAACCATCTGTACCAAATATAATTCGTCTTGAACAAGCTGCTCATCAACCACAGAGAAGTACAAGAAGAAGATGTGCCAGATGTAGCACTAAAAAAAACGAGATTCGTACAGAATGGATGTGCTGTGTGTGTAATGTTCCGCTGTGTTTTGGGAAAGAATAAAAACTGCTTTGCACTTTACCACAATACACAGGAAGGGTAAGATTATTAGTAAAACAGTAAACACATATTTACTAATTGTATTAACTTTTTAATTTTTACTATTTCAGATTTTGTTCAAACAATTCATAAACCACAATAGTAATATAAATAAAAAACAAATTTTAATGGAAAAAAATTGTTTTAACCCTTAACTTGGTATTGTATCCTAGGAGATACACTCCCTTTTATCATTTTTAAATACTTTAAATATTTATTTTTTCTATATACATTTTAACGTTTTTAATAATGCTACACTGTTTGATTACTATCATATTTTTATTTCCCGCTTAAATGTTATCATACGTTTTCTGTTAAGCATTACAAATCGAGTATTACCCTGTTATCAAATATACAAGAATTCCAATATTCAAAATGGTCAAAAACCGTAATTTGTTACAAAAATGCACCAAACAAGGGTGAAAAACTATTAAAGGAAGTATTTATGTTATAATTACATATATTTATTTGATTAAAATATTGTATAAATAGTTTTAAATGTCATTTGAATCTTATGTATCCTATAAGATACATTGCCACAACGCCTGTAAGTTTATACATGTATCTCAGAAGATACATTGCCACAACGCCTATAAGCTTATACATGTATCTCAGAAGACACATTGCCACAACGCCTATAAGTTTGTACATGTATCTTAAAAGACATATCCCTGGTATTTTTGTATTATTAATAGTCGATTTTCGGAATAAAAAAAGATAACCAATTCATAATATTTAATTTTTTTTTTTTATATTATTAAACTATTATTATAAATTAATCGAAATGGGCTCCATTTATTGATTAATTTTATCACATTGGCCAATGAAATAATAATATTATGTTTAGTTCTATGTTGTTTTTCTTGGATAAACACGTCTTGTTGAACCATGAATGTTATAGTTACTACTAATCTTTTATTTCTGTACAATTATTATAGATATAATATATTACCGTCCTGTGCGATACAAATATGTACCGCACCGGACAGTCGCCCGCTTCAACTTGAGCAGCAATCAACGCGCTAATTCATATTATATATTATTTTATAAATACGTCGTGTTTAGAAATGTTTTCTAGAACTAGAAAAATGATGGCTTTGGCCTTACCTCCGCTAGATAGTGGATCTAGTTCGGAGTCAGAGATAGATGAACAACATATACCAGATATTGACAGGCTCTTGGCAGAATTTGAAGAAGAGAATGAAAATGATGTAGGTTTCTTTTAATTACTGTATTTTATTATATTTATTTTTTATATAAATAATATAAAATAAATATAAATATATTATATTATAGAAAATAATATATAATCAAAATTATAATATATATATATATATATTAAATATATAAAATAAAAAAATTATATTTAAATTTTTATTATATTAAATAATATAGGATTGGAACGAAGAAGTGTTTGAAGAACTTGATGCTCAGATAGTACCAGAAGAAATTGAGATGTTAAGAGATGAAGCTGTTTCAGAAATAAGTATTCATTTACCATCTTCAAATCAAGTACCAAGTCCTGCAACACCTCTTCCGACGGCATCATTATCTGTAACACCCGTAAGTTCATCATCACGGCGTTCAGCTCGAGTTCATAAAAAAACAGTTATTGAGACTCCGGTCATCACTCCTGTTCACCATCCAAAAAAAAAAGTGCCGTTGAAACATATAGATTTCACTTGGAAATCAATAAAAAAATTTAATTTTGGTGTTGAGGTTCCAGTTGAACAAAACTATATTATTAACGATACTATTTTAACGCCCTTAGATTACTTTACGAAAATATTTTCTAATGAGGTAATCAAATTGTTAGTTGAACAGTCTAATTTGTTTTCAATCCAAAAATTTTCGAAACCTCTTTCTACAACTCCCGAAGAAATGAAAAATTTTTTAAGTATTAAATTATGGATGGGTATAGTTAAAATGCCGTCATATATTGATTATTGGGCACAAGGCACTAGATTTGGACCAATCGCAGATATTATGCCAATAAAAAAATATCAACATATATTGCGATGCTTACACCTAACAAATAACGAATATGATAACAACACCGATCGATTTTTTAAAGCAAGGGAATTCATTGAAAAAATTCGTATTAACTGTTTGAATATTTCTCAAGGAAATAAATTTTCAATAGATGAAATGATGGTGCCATACAAGGGAAAGAAGGCTGGTTCACGTAGGCAATATATGAAAAATAAACCGAAGAAGTGGGGCTTTAAACTATTTGTCCGTGCTGGAATTGATGGAATGGTGTATGATTTTTTCCCATACTCTGGCGAAAATACATTCCAGAATGTACAGTTCTCCGATTATGAAAATAGTTATTTCGGTTTAGGACCAAAAGTAGTTATTGCATTATGTAAAACTATCCCTAATAAACCACTCAGTACGGTTTTTTTTGATAATTTTTTTACAACACCGGAGCTTATTCATTATTTAAGACATGAATATGGCATTCTTAGTCTTGGAACATTAAGAAAACAACATTTGCGTGGATGTGATATAGACGATAAGAAGTTAAGTAAAATGCCACGGGGTACCTTCTTTAGCAAGTGTGATAAAAAAAATAAAGTAATTATTGTTAAATGGTTGGACAATAAAATTGTTAGTTTGGCAAGCTCTTATGCAGGTGAAGAACCCGTCCAAACAATTCAAAGATATTCAAAAACCGAAAAAAAAAAAGTGCCTGTCCCTTATCCTAAAATAGTTGAGGAATATAATACCCATATGGGTGGTGTAGATCTTGCAGATATGTTTATAGCGCTTTACCGAACTAACATGAAGACACACAAATGGTATATGGCATTATTTTCGCAGATGTTAGATCTATCTGTAAATAATGCCTGGTTATTGTATAGAAGAGATAGCAAAAGTGAAAAAAACACGATGAGATTAAAAGAATTTAGAAAAGATATTGCTATTGCATTGGCTTGTAAAAATAAGCCAAGAGTTGGTCGTCCTTCTTCTTCGATAACAAAAGAAAAACAAAACGTAAAAAAAGTTCAAACACCGGTTGCACCAAGGCCTCCACAAGAAGTGATACAAGATAAAATAGACCATTGTCCAGCATTTACCACCAAAGGCAGATGTAGGTATTGCAAATCAGGCCAAACTTCTGTCATATGTCTTAAATGTAAAAACCGTCTTTGTTTTGTGGAAGGGAGAAATTGTTTCCAAAACTTTCACTACGCAAAATAATTGTATATATTTTTATCTATTGTTTTGTTTCAATTGAAACTCATTAAGTATTAAATTAAATAATAAAATTAAAGGAAGTTCCTATGTATTTATTTTAAAAAAAATTGTTTATTCATATTTTAAATGTGTTAAAGTTATGGTTTTATTTTATATAATATTAAATATACTATTATGAATTAATTTTTTTGTATTTCCTGAATTATTGGCAACGGCTTATATTATACACATGATCTTGGTAATGTATCTCCCTAGATACAACTCTTATAATACGAGTTTATGGCAATGTATCTCACCAGATACATAGTACATATTATGAGGTTATGGCAATGTATCTCACAGGATACATCTTATAACTTTAAAAGTTTAAGTCCTAAAATTTTAATTTTTAATTTTTTGAGTTCAGGGGCCTCAAAATATAAAGAATAACCAAACTTCATAATTTTCACATCAATAATGTACACTTGCCAAGTTAAGGGTTAATATTGTATTATAACATGCAGTTATTTTTTATTTAAACTACTTTTTAATTTTTTTTTTTTGTAAATACAATGTATTAACATAATGTGCATAAAATAAACGTATTATTATACATCTATTCAATTAATTTAAAATGTAATATTATTTTTATTTTATTTATACCCAATAAAATCTACCACATGCTGCATGGTGGGACATACGCCATCCCACCTATAATAACTTTTTTTATCAAAACATTAAATTTTTTTTTTCACCAAGTTTGTATTATTTACCAAAATAATATTTGATTTTTATACTCGAATCAATAAATTTCTAAAAAAAAACGGTGTCTGTGCAGCATAGGTATAAAAAAAATTCAGACCCCTGTGCCGGAAAGAGTTAACCTAAATATTACTCATTCCAATCATGTTCAGGTATTTCTAATGTGGAACACCTTTCCATTCGATGTCACATTGAATGGTGATGATAGAACAAATAACTATTGCGAAGGGTG